AAGGAGACCAGAACACAACAGAGCTGCTTCAAATCTGAGAGAATCGAGATCTCATGACAGGCTGCGAGACCCACAGGGTGAGGCCTACCATCCTTGGGAAACCGGCCCAAGCCAAACCGACGCTTCTCTGACTAGTCGTCAAGGTTTCGGGCTCACCACGACTGTTACTGGCCCTCAAGTTCACCGTTCTGGGAACCCTGGTCCGTCCTTGGGCCAGCGAATGCGACAACTTGCCAGAGGCAAGACGGAGCCCATTGAGAGTCGACCTCCATGGAAGGGTGCCAGTGGCCGTGCGCCAATGGTTGACCCTGTCCAGGATGATCTAGGTGTCGCACCACTCGCCGTTCAGCGCAAGAATAGTAAACGTGGGCTTCGAGCTGGCCGTGTCTCGCCTGAAACGTCCAATACAACCGCTGCTACTGTCCGCAGATTGCTGCCCTCACGGTCCAACCAGAAGCTCAAGGAATCTTCAAAGACTCCTTCTCCCGAGCCTGCTTCGCATGAACCAGCCCACGCATATCCCAGTCCTCCTTATGATGACGCTCCCGTTTGGGAGTCTCAAGCCCCTGTCCCCCCGCCTCAAACTTCGCAAAGGGTGCCCCTCCATCCTCGTCATCTGCCTGATCCCAACAAGGCCATTAGGAGAAAGCCATCGCCCTCGACTTTTGTTCCAACTCACATCCCGCAGAACTCGACCTCGAGTTCTCAGTATTCCGCCTACACGGATCAAAGTGTTTCGACCTACGTCCCTCACTTGTCTGCAGCTTCGCCATTGAGCCTTTTTGGCGGTTCCGACGAACCTTGGGTGAAAACCGAACCTTGGGTGCAACCCCCGTCCCGATTCAGCGTTACTACCTGCAATACCGTCATTCCCGATTCTCCTCGGCCGGAAGAGGAACAGCCCCCTGTGCCTCCCATGCCAGAGCAACTTCCTTCTGTGATGGACCGTAGGAGGCCCGTCTTTGGAGGCGAGCGCACCAAAACCCCCCCCGTGAACGACCCGATCATCATTTCAATGAAGACAAGCGTGGCAGCGAGCCCGAAGCCCGAAACCACCGAAAGCAGTACTGACCGCCCATCGTCTCTTGTGTCGACTTCCAAGGCGCTCCCACCGGTGCCTCCGGAGAAGATGACGGCAGGCGATCGTGTTGCATATCTCAATGCCCGCCTCGACAGCTTGGCTCATCGTCGCCTTAACATTAATAAGAGCATCAAGCAAATGACGGAGCTAATGCCTACGGGTAGCTTGATGTCGAGCGCTGAAGTCCTACGCAAGCGGGAAACTGAGAAGAAAAAGGTGGAGGGCTTGAAGGAAGAATTGGCAGAGATCCAGAGAGAGGAGTACGATCTGGGTCTGAAGCTCTACCGAGCCAACAAGCGCCTCGAGAGAGAGTCCGGCTATGAGGGTTCGACTCTCTGGGTGAGGAGAGCCACGTCTGCATAGAATCAGTTCAACCGATTCGGAGGAAAGGTTTTATTTTGTTCTAGATGAAGACATAGGGGTCATCTTTGACGGCACTGCAAGTAAGGAGTCACGGTTTTCTAGTCATAGCAGGCGGAGTCTCGAAGCTTTCTTCTTTTCTTGTTTTTTTGTTAATCAGTGTAAGGTATGCACACCCTGCTGGTCCGGCGATGTCTTTTAGATGATACCTAGAGGCTTGGTCAACCCGAGCTCACCAAAAATTGAGAAATCAAAACATTCCACGGAGCAATAAGCATAGAGGAAACTAGCGATGTGATTCACTACTATGTGCTGCCCTCAAGCAGTAAGGGTGTGGACGAAACTAGCAAGGCGATGGTGTTGCCATCTGGTATATGCCTGGTTTTCTCTTCCGTACTTTCAACAAAGAGAATTGTTCTTGTATCCTCTCAAAGGATAGGGGTTTCTCTCATACGAAACGCCTCAACTCAATTGCATAATCAACCCAAGTACATTGACTCGGTTTCCCCCTGACTCCCTCATCGATCATGGTAGACCCTATGTTTACTGGGTAGTAGTCCGCTCCGAGCCTGGAGGTCGTGGACCGGGACACTGGCCCCTCCAGCAGCGATCGCAGTAATCTCCCCATCCATGGGGAGTCAGAGGAGTGTTGCAGCGGCAGGACTCCTGCCATGCGTGCTTGCAAAACAGGTGGACGCCCTCTCGGGGCGCCTGGGTAGGCGTCCCGTTTGAAGTCTGCTGGCTGGGAGACTGACGGTAGCCCGAGGAACCAGAAGCTGAAGAAGAAGAGTTTCCGGCTTGGCGAGTGCCGCTGGTGGGAGAGCTTGTTCGGCCGCGAACATAAGGCGCCATGTACAGATGGCTATAGCGACCGCTGGACGCCGGCGAGGCGACGGCCTGGCCCCCGTGCACAATGTACTCCGGGGATGGGGTGCGGATGTCGGAGTACATGGCAACGTCGAACTCGGGGCGGCGGCGACGGGGAGGCGTCTTGAACGGGTCGCCGCCGGGATAGCCCTGCGGAGACGCGGCGGCGCGGCTTGGGGGGCTTTGGTTGGCGAGCATCTGGCGCCCCCATCCGGTGTCGTTGACGGCCTCGCAGGCGAAGCGGCGCTCGAGAGACGAGAAGTAGACGGGGTTTGGAAAGTGGTAGGAGCGGTTGGTGTTGGTCAGCTGGCCGGGCACTCGGGGGAAGTCCCATTCCCGGTTGGTCGGGGAGTAGTTCGCATAGACCCTATGTTTCTTATTGTTAGGAGGAGGAGGAGCGTCAGGGGGGGTGGGTGGGAAGAGCTCGTACGAAGGGAACTGAGTGTAGTCCTCCATGGTTGAAGGAGTGGGAGAGCCAGGATGGTTCCGAGCGCCGCTGCCGCTGGGAGTAGCTGCTCGGCGCTCGACTCGACGGTACTGAGGAGTGTTTGAGAAACTCATCTTCTCTAGACTTCAAAGGGGTACCAGCTAAGAGTATGAAGATGTGTAGAGACCTTTATTCTTGTTGTGAGAGGTCTCGCAGCTGTGTCACAACAGAGATCGAGTCTAGAGAAGCCGAGTGTCGATAGCTTGTGTGTTCGTGTTTAGGAAATAGATTCGAGGCATGGCTTCGGGTTTGCGAATATATAGGTGTTTCGACACAATTGAATGGGTAGTTGGCGTTCTATCATGTGGGTTGGGTGATTGTTGAACACGTCTGACAATGTGACTGTTTGGGTGAACAGTGAACCGAATGACAGTGTTCGTGACTTTGACGTCGTCGTTTGCAATGGTCGGTGTTCTGGTTATAATCATTATCATTCGCATTCATTGACTCTCAGTTTCGTCTGAAGAAAAAGACTCTGATGGCGGCGGTGTGGTTTGCGATATAAGACAAACGCAAGGTCGTTGTATAGGGAGACAGATGACAAACGCAGCAGCAGAAGTATAGTCAAAAAGGAGAGTTCATTGAAAAAGCTGGGACTAGAATTATCCTAGTTAGTGTCCCAAATCAGTTCCCCTGTTGAGTCAACCTCATATCTACACACTCCAGCAACTCAGAACCCGGGTGGCCATGTTCGTGGATATTTATAAAGCATCTTGAAGCTCATTGTCTTCAGGGGGATCAATTTGATATGAATGGGATGGTATGTTGAATTCCCATCGGGAACGAGGGCCCCCTGCGGATTCTCTTCCGGCGACCTCACACTGCTGATGTTGAAGAGGCGAGGCTGGACGATGCCGGCGGCTTTCATTTCGGGAGTCTTGGCATCGATAACTCGAATGTGCAGCGAGAGGTAGTTCGCGAAGCCCTGCTGCTCGATGTCGATTCGTACAGTGTCCATGACTTCGTCTCTCGCCGGTTCTCCGGCCCTGAGTTCTGGTACAGCTGGCGGGAGAGGTACCTCAATCGTGTGTCTATGTAGAAGCTCGAGATTAAAGGCTACCGTAGTGGTGCCATTTTCAGGGGGCAAGAAGTCGAATACGGTGTCGTTCTGGGAACGTGTGAGGACATATGGTCCGTCGCTTTCGTACTGTTCGGGGATGCCTCCCGGACCGATTTTGATCGACACCATGGAGTTCTCGCGAGTGACGAAGGGCGGCAACTCAGGGAGCAGGATGTGGTGGGCGTCCCAGCGACGGACTTTGGTGTCTCGGGGAGGGAGATACTTGTTCAGTGCTGGCGGCGCCCAGTTGATGCCGTCGGGGTTCGGCAAGTGATAATTATCGGGGGGGTTCTTGAGGTCTGCGGCAGAGATGAAGTATAGGAAGATATTGCCGAGGTGGTGTCGGCTTGCCATAATCTCGATGACATGAGCGTGGGAGGTGCCTGGTGAGATGCCCAACTCGTAGATGGCTCTGGGAGGCCCCCGTGGTTGATCCGAAGGTTGCAGTGCAACGCAGCAGCTGCATTTTCTAACCTCGAATTCTGGTAGCTCCATGTTTGTGACGGTTGTCAGGCCGTTGCCTGTGGCGTTGGCAGATGGGTTGTTCATGGGCCAAGTGATGAGGCGTTGCGGCTTTCCCAAGTGTCAGTGTGTATGTGTGTGTGTGTGAGGTGAGCTGAAAGGAATTTATGCTAGGAAGAGTTGATGAGCTGGTCTTTAGTCCTTTAAATGTTTGTTCCCAGACTTGCCATGATGATTTGATCGTGGTGTTTGCCGGCTGGCCGACAGCTGCCATGGCTTGGACACATGATTCACAGCCCGCAGGAGTGCCTGGACGGGAAAAGATGGAAAAGCCGGTAAGCATCTGGACTTGGAAAGAGTGATTCACTGTGTTTCAACTCTGTCAAGACTTTCGAAACTAGCATGTTAGTTTGAGTCGTAACTTGGACTCCAACCACGCGAGTTGGAGCATGCACTGTTAACATGGACATCTCGACTGTGCCAAGCGGAAGTTGCCTGCATCACCACCAACACGAGTGACTCTCGACTTAGGGGAGTATTACTAATTGTTGATTCCCTAAATCGATAATAAGGCAAACGCACCTGCCCTTGTTGAGAATGAGGACAACAAAGAGACTATCGAGTTGCCGGCAAGCGCTGCCAATCTAAACCGACAGACTCGCGGCCCCCCCCCCATCAAGCACGGTCGCATGGCCCAATGGCAAGGCGTCTGACTACGAATCAGGAGATTGTGGGTTCGATCCCCACTGTGACCTTTCTCCTTTGCCTTTTTGACCTTTTAGCTGAGGAGGATATTTATGTCAAAGAAGAATATTGATACAAAGCCGAGGCTTCTACTATGTAAAATTGCCCAATGGACAGGTAATATATACAAGATGTCTACCCACCATGGTAGAACAGTCGACTCGATCTCTTCAAGCAAGCCACCCCAAGTTTTCCTACTAATACCTCCGCTTGTTCAGGAACTTGAGCAGAGCCCTGTGGAAGCGGTCCGGGTGGGAAATCTGGGGAGCATGGCCGAGGTCGGGGAACCTGAACAGCTGGGCTCGGGGGATCTGAGAAGCAACCTGTCGCCCAAGAGACTTGAAGTTGCCCAGCGTCGCAGCCACGTCGGATGAAGCCCACGTCGATCCAATGGCAGTAATGTCTTTCTCGCCCACCATGACGAGGGTTCGCGCCTTGATGTCTCGGAAGTAGTGGGCGATGGGCTGGGTGAGGACCATGTCGACGATGCGCGCCTGGATGCGGACGTAGTTCTCGCGCTGCGATCCGTAGTAGATGTTGACGAGCATGTTGACCCACGTGTCGTAGGCGTCCTGCCACTCGTTGACGTAGTAGGCCACCTTCTCGTAGCCCTTGATGGACGCGAAGCTGGAAGCCGCCTCGGTGGCGTACGTCTGGTCGATGCTGATGTACGGGACGCCCTTTTGCACGTAGTCCTCCCACCCGACGGCATTCACCATGACAAGGTCGTCGACAGTCTCGGGGTACTGCAGCGCAAAGCGCGTCGAGAGCATGCCGCCCATGGAGTGGCCGATGACGGTGACCTTGGAGACCTCGAGGGCGTTGAGCAGGCCCTTGGTGTTCCAGGCAAACTGGTGGAGGCTGAAGTGGTAGTCTGCGGGCTTGGAGCTCTTGCAGAAGCCGATCTGGTCCGGGGCAATCACCCGCCATCCCTCTGCAACCAGAACCTTGATGGTGCCCTCCCAGGTAGCGCCGCAGAAGTTCTTTCCGTGGAACAGGATGGCGGTCCTCCCGTTAGGCTTGGACTTGGGCTTGACGTCCATAAAGGCCATCTCGAGCTGCTCGAGCTGGCTCTGGAACTTGAACAGCTTCACCTGGTAGGGGTAGGTGAAGTTGGAGCCATTGAGGTCCTCGGCCACGGCGCCCGCGAAGACGGTGCCGTTGGCCTGGGCGGCGACGAGCCCGAGGCCAGCCGAGAGGAGGGAGAGGAGGGAGAACTTCATGGCGAAGGATGGGATTTAACAAGGTTCGCCGAGCGTTACAGCGGCAGGGAGGAGGAGGAGGATCGAGGAGGGAGGGAGGGAGGATGGAGAAAGGATGAGAAAGAGTTCGAAGATGGTTGCTGCATTGACATGATCAGCAAACCCCATGGGCCATGGGCCATGGGCCATGTGTTCCCCCCAGGCCAGCTTCCCAAATGGTACTTGGAGCCAACAGCATCAAATTCATCGAGTCGACCAGGATCATTGAGCTGTCCCGATTGTTGGTTGCGGGATATGAATGAAGGCCCCCCCCGGTCGACATGTAGTTAATGGCACCTGAGACGGAGGAACACCCGTCCCTGCTCCCCCAGCATCTCCCCCGATAATCTTATCAAGGCCTCTCGGGGCCTTCGGGGGACGCGAGGCTTCTGAATTAAGCAGCAGGCGCTCGGTAACGGCGCAGACTAAGAAAGCCTTTGCCGGTGAGGCGTCTGCTCTAGAGGAACCTTGTTTTCAAAGAATGGATTCCAATTCCCTGGGAGCCGGCCAGTTCCTAGCCTTGTCGGCCGAGAGCAGCCGTTGAAGGTGTCCACACAAGCCCCGATGTAACGCTGGAGCTGGACGTCGTATAATTGCTTTTTTTTTCTTTCCATTTTCGTCCCTTTTCTTTTCGCTTTTTCTTTTTTTTTGCTTTTACCGTACGACTCACACATGATTCCGCGCGGAATTCAACCTGAGCAGTGAGAAATGGATACATACGGGGTAACTCTACCGCTGGTAGTGATGGCCAAGACATCAACAACACCATCACCACCTCTCAGATGCAGGTCCAAATTTTAAAGTAGAGGACCCCCTCCTTCCCCTTGGATCAATAGACGATCCTTACCCTGTAAACTTTCTCCCGCATAGCCTCTTTACATACTGCTCGGGAACCAAGGCCGTGCGGCGCAGACAGGAGAATCCCCCTCTCCCATGGCGTCTTTTCTCTAGCCTGTTGCAGCACGCTCCCGACGGCGTGGACAGATTGAACCCGTCATGATCATCGTCAGATTCGTAAATAAACGGCAGCAATAGAGTCGCATTCTGGACGGGGGGGCCACGAATACTCGCCTGTCACATTGCATGACACCAAGAGAGGAAAAAGAAAAGAAGAGCAACAACAAACAGCCTATGTGAGCTATCACAAAGGAGCAAACAACAGACAGAGGAAACAAACGGACTCGAACCAAGCGGAAAAATTGCTCGCAACGACCAACGACCCTTTGTTGTTGGCGCTACGTTGCTCAATGCCTGTCAGGACGACCAGACTAAGACGGCTCTGGGTGCACAAAGTACTGGAAGAAGGAGTTGCAAACGTCGATCAGCAGGCTTCGTTGCATTCTTCAATCTGCCCGATCATCGACATTGCCGCAATAAGAAGGCCAGCCATGCTTCCACCGTGGGGGTTGCTTTCAACACAAGCAAGATACTCGACAAACACAGAGCTGCAACGTCCTGTATCACCATCTAGGTACGAAGTAGTTATACCTCTCTCTCCCACATGTCGACATGGTAACAAGCCCCCGAATGGGCCCTCTCCTCGACAAGGGTTCCCTCACACACCTCATGCCACACCTGCTGCTTCGGGAACGGCCTCTCGCCTGAATCTTCCCAGCCGGGCGCAAACTTTCTTCCTCTGCAGATGCCAGGGCTCTTGGCTCAGCTCGCAGAAGAAAGACCAAGTTTCAGCCATCCTTTTTTCGGGTGCTGTAACTAGCCACATGCATGGCTGCACTGCCGGAGCCAGACGCCCGGATGGGGAGACGAGAGAAGGAGACATGGCAATGACTGGTACCGAGTAGAGAGAGAATATAATCGTCTTAGACGCCCTCCCCTCCCCTTGTTCCGCGGCTTGATATGCCGCTGCCAATGCCGCTCTTTCACCACGACAACTGCCAACTATGGTCTCTGGAAACATACCCGGCGAGAGCAATGCGTGGATGGTGCGGACGCCATGCACCGTCTTCTTCGTCATAACGCCCATCTTCATCGGTCTCCGGCTGTGGAGTCGGATAGCACGGAACAACGGGTTTGGGGCGGATGACTGGACTATTCTCCTTTCTTTTGTAAGTGGTCTTCGAGCACGGCATTGAAGACATCGAGGCCGAGTTGTTAACCTGGTGCAACCAAAGGCTTGCACCCTCACTGTGCAGATCCTGATGATGGTCTCGTGCAACTATGGCTTTGGCCAACACGTCAAGAACCTCGCCGTCGAAAACAAGTTGACGGCTCTCAAGGTAACAAGTGTGACGCTCTTCCAAACCCCTTCCAACTAACCACCTAACTAGTTGTTCTACGTCGCACAAATCTTCTACAAGTTTACAATCAACCTCACAAAGATCTCCATCCTCCTGCTCTATCTCCGCATCTTCGTCCAAAGATGGTTCCGAATCTGCTCCTACGTCCTCATGAGCATCATCGCTTCATACATGGTCGCAACAGTCTGCTCGTCCATCTGGCAGTGCAGCCCCATCGAAGGCGCCTGGAACAAGGCGATCCAGCCGAAATGCATCGACTTGACCAAGAACTGGTACGCCAACGCCGGCTTCTCCATCGCAACCGACGTCCTGATCTTAATGTTGCCCATGCAACCTCTGTGGGCGAGCAAGTTGCCCGTCGTCCAGAAGAGGGCTCTCATGCTGGTGTTTGCGCTTGGTGGTTTGTGAGTTGATCCGACGCTCCGTCCCCTATACACTCTTGTCACTGTTCGCTAACAAGAGCTCAGCGTCACTGTGACCTCCATCATGCGCTCAACAACCTTGAAGTTCTCCACTAAGAGTCCAGATACGACCTGTATGTTCCTCTACTCCTCCAAAGCAACATTGATCGACAAGTGATCTAACTCCCACCGCAGATGACATCACCTCCACGCTCTGGACAATGATCGAAGAAAACGTCGCTATCATCTGCGCTTGCCTCCCTATGTGCCGCATGCCGCTGGCCTTCGTCTTCCCCTCGATCTTCGCCTCCAAGCTCGGCAACTCGCACCCCTACGCCTCGACGGACCATTCGCACGACCAGCCCAGCAACGCGTGGAAGCCGTACGTCGGCCCGCGCAAGGCCGAAGGGTTCTCCCGGACGGCGGCCATGCGCACCGACGGCGCCAGCGAGGAGTACATCTTGGACCCCATGAGCGGGAGTGATTCTGCCAAGGAGAGTCCTGCGATTCGAAAGACGATGCACTACAATATCACATACGAGAGTGATCCTGCGGCCAAGGTTTAGAAGAAGGAAAGACAGCGTCTGTGCAATAAGCATGGGTAATGTGTGGGCATCTAACGCATGTATTTTTTTTTTGGGAGTAATGGCAATATCGATCGACTTCAATCAGGGTTTGGGTCGGTGAACGAGTCGACGTGACACGGGGTTATGAACAGGAAAAGTCTTTGGGTAAATACTTGCTATACTTAATCGATGCGTTCAAAGGATCGACATCTTCGCAGACTTGTTTGTGACCCAATCTTGCGAGGAAACTCTCATAGTAAAAGAGATAGGGTATTGCAGATGACAGCAACTGACTTCCCTTTTATACATGGCTAGATATGGTACATATTTGAGTGGACGAAGAAGAGACGGTCTCTAGCTCATTCCATCCATGAACTCGACACGGTCCAGAATCATCTGTCGGTAGCCCATATACTCCTTTAGACCCTCCCACTCAGGGCCCGTCTCTTCTCCATGCCGCCAAGGCTCCTTGAAGCCCCAAGCGCAAGCGATCCTATCCATGGCCGCACGCTCCTCTTCCCGCAACCATCGATATCGCAAGGGCG